ATATGAGATAAGTATATGAAAAGATACTCCACATCATTAATCATCAGGGAAATGCTAATTTAAACCACAGTGAGAACCATTACGTGCCTGCTAGAATGGCATTAAAACTGACAATAGCAAGTGCTAACAAGGATGTGAACCCTCATACATTGCTGGTGGCAATGTAAAGTGGCACATCCTCTTTGTAGAACAGCTTGGCAGTTGCTTATAAAGTTAAGCATACACTTACTGAGCAATCATACTTCGAGGTCCCTATCTGGAAAAATAAAAACATGTGTCCTCACTAAGATTTATATATGAATGTTTGCAAGAGTTTTATTCATAGTAAATACAGACTGGAAATAATTGGTGTGTAGATAAATAATGGAATTCCACTAAATAATAAAATGGAATACCGATACATGCCAAAACATGGATGAGCCTCAAAAGCATTATGCGAAATGAAAGAAGCCAGGCACATAAGATTATATACTGTATTGTTCCATTTCTTTAAAATTCTAAAATAAGGCAGTGAGCAAAAGCAGGTAAATGGTTGCCTAGGGAAGGAGTCAGGAAGAGGGTTAGCTATAAAAGGGGCAAAAGATAATTTTGACGACTGGGCTAGGGGAGGTGGTTATATAACTGTGTATGTTTGTTAAAAGTCATCAACTGATATACTTAAAAATTGGTATAATTTATAGTAAATTATACCTCAAAGCTGATTAAAACAAAACAAAGAAGAATACATACCCCCAAGAAATTAGACCTTAGAATTAAAGAATCTCAAGTCAATGTTGGGAGCAGTTTAGAGGTAGGATTTTAGAAGTCCCAAAGAGAAAGAGAGAGACATTAAAAGCAGCCAGATGTGTTCCGCTTTTCACCCTGTGCCAACTTGAATTACCAGTGTATTCTAAAATCTTGGCGTAAATCAGATTGCCATTCTCTTGTGATCCTGCAGAAGACTGGAAAATTGGTGGAGATAGTGGCCATTTGGTAGAGGATGAGGGAAGTGGGGAAGTCGAAAGAATTACGAATACACCATAGGCCAGGGAGCCCGAATTTAGTGCTGGAAAAATATTACACATCAGCACAGATTGAATTTGCGACCAGTGAGGGAAATAAAGTAGCAGAAGCTTGGCTTTGTAAAGAACTGAGCACGCCAGGCTGCTTCAGCCCCTCTAGTTACTGAGCAGCAGGCCTGCTAGTTTCACCGGAAGCAATGATCAAAATGGATCTTGGCCCCGGTCAGATATTTAGATTCAGTCAATATGAAACTTTCAACCTTAAAATTGGAATATGTGGTCTGCAGTCCTAGATGCAGTCTGAGCCGAGGGGGGATATCTAAATTGTCCGAGCTTGGTGTGGAGAACAGAGGAACAACATGAGTCATTCCAGACAGGGAATGGTACGATTGAATTGTGGGTGATGCATGTATGGTGTGTTGGAGGCGTTAAGAGGTTTGCATGGAGAGAACATGCAGTGGGAAGTGAGTGTGTTTGGGGGGTGAGGGGAGGGAAGGAGAGATAGATGGGGTCAGACCACAAAGGGCCTTAACAAACCATGGGAAACATCAGGGCCTCCCTCATGACTTGCCCTAAGCTGTAATCAAGAGTATTGACAGACCATTGGTACTGGACTCCAAGGTCAGCTTCCTCCTAGTCCAGTATTTTTTCAGTTCTATCACTTGCTGCAGCTCTCTGTAATTAAATGAGCAATTATTACACTGAGAAATAAATAAAGAGGAATTGTTGACGGTGAGTCAGCGACTTCTGAGCTTGTTTTAATGTTCGAGAGGATTGTATACCTTTGAAGTTGTTTCAGAGTATAGCCATGCTGTTGCGGATTAAAGAAAGGTAAAAGTGCACAGATTTGCACTGCCAAGCCAAGAGAAATCGAGACAAGGGAGTGTTGTTACAGGGCTGGGATTAGGACTCTCCTATACGGGTTGCTAACCAGCTCTTCTCTGTGACCTCAGGCAAGTCCTCTGTATGCCTCCACTTTCTTATCTATAAAATGGGGATAATAATGCTGATTCATTATCTGTTATCTGCAATTCTGAGATCCAAAGAGCTCTGAAAACCAAAAGTTGCTTTGGTTTGGTTTTAACTTCATGAAGTTTGTGACAGACTCATTTGGTGGTGAAATCTGGCCTGAACTTTAAAGCTCTATAGTCATATCCCAGTTGGTGGGAATAGTCATGAATTCTGAAGAAACGTTAACATTTGATTCTGGGGTGCTGACCTAAATCCTGCTGGAGGTGTTTATAATATATGCTATATGAACTCTGCTCCCTTTCTAAAATCAAAACAATTCTGGATTCTAAAATATCTGGCCCCAGGGGTTTCAGATAAGAGACTGTATCCCTGTAATACCCTCCCCATGGGGTTGTGTGAGGATTCCATTTCTGACAGCAGAACTCAGGAAAAGATAAAGCTATTATTATTTATCATTATTCAGACTCAGAAATGAGATTCCCCTCTCCCATCCCTGAGAACGAGTGAGGGTAACAGCTGATGAAGCCTACATTTGTTTAGTACTTTTACATTTTAGTCTGTCAAGTTTGATTGATAGTATATCAATTATTGAAATGTGTTTTCTTTGAACTGTCCTACTCTGAACACTTATCCTTCCTTTTTTTTTTTTGGCAATCTTTACATACTTGGGTAGGTGTCTTATTTGCCTTCAGGTGACAAACTTATTTTTCAGTCATTTTTCCTGAGGTGAATCTTATGAAGCTCACGCGTAGGTTATATATCTCCTAACTAAAACACAAACGGCTATGCTTACTTTCTGAGCATTCTCAGTAAAAGTGAGTTCTTAACATACCCTAAGGCAGTGTCTTTGTTTGTAAAGTCATTGGTTAAAAACACTAGCACAAAAATACTCTTCTACTTTTCATTCAGTGTTTCCCGAGTAGAATTTTATTTTTGTGGTCAATTCTTGGCATGCTCCCTATTTCCTCAAGCAATATAAAACCCGTTTGCTGTGTCTAATCCTTGACCTGTGGTCATGGAGAGCTGACTATGCAACACACTTCTCACATTAGGAAATTTTTAACTGAAAATTTCATATACTAAAGCGCTTGGGATAAAAAGAAAGATTAAATATTTCAAGAGGATGAAATAAAGCAGTTATTTTTAAATGCATTTTTTAGTCAGACATTCGCCTTCAGTCAGAGTTAGGTTGAAACGTATCAATAATACATCTTTTTGCCACTCTGGCTCCTGGTCCCCAGTGTTTTTCCCCTGGAAGACCGTTGCTGCCAATCTAGGATTGCAACCTGTGTGTGTGTGTGTGTGTGTGTGTGTGTGTTTACCTTTGTTTGGGTAGGTGTTACCAGGTGCCCCACTCTTGGCTGGCTGTGGTGGTGCCTGGTGGTCTCACTGACGCAGCAAATTGCGGAGGAGGGCAGTGAAGGGGCCTTGGCCCAGAGAACAGGGATGCTAAGGTTTAATAGAATTTAAGGATTAGAATGGAGACTTTCTACATTGGTTCAGAGATGGGGAGGGGAAGAAACACAGGATAGGACTTTTTTCTTCTATTTGGTTCTAGGTCTCATGCTTTCTCCCCCTATTTTGTCAGTTCTACAACCAACCAACCAACCAACCAACCGACGAATCACTGAATTTCTCCTCCCTCAGAAGGAAGTGTGGGAAATACAAGTTTCAGTCACTTCTGAGTGAAGAAATCTGTATCTTGATGGCTTTTGCCATCATGATTTGTGCCATTGCAACAGGCCAGTCCTGTTCATGAGAGTATAGGACCAAATGGTCCCTATCAACTTTCACATTGTCTTAGGCTATGGCATGAGAATATAAGTGCAACCGTTTGGGAAAACGTTTGCTTTGCAGTTTTCTAGTTGGTTGGGCCTTGGGTAAAATCTCTTTACTCTCTGCTATATATTCCATCCTAATTTTTCCCCCATAAATCCTATTTCCTCTGAGTCTCTCTAGAGTACTGTAAGGGCAGGATAAATTATCATCTGTTTAATATCACTCAATATATGAAAACATTGTTTTTTTCCACTTAGTTTCTGGCATTCTGTAAAGCTGTTTGTGGTATGAATTATTTTAACCCCTCTGAAACTCAATTTCTTCATCCTAATGAGAAGATACCAGAAAATAATGACATCAGTGTGTTTTGATAAATGTGAACTCTTTTGTTTACAGGATTTTATTTAAAGTTGGAAAAAATGATTAATTTGATTAGTGACTATAAGTCCTTCTGAAAAGATTGCTAGCTGTCATTGTTGGGTATGTAGTAGCCAGTCATAAATGGGCATCTATAGAAAGTGGACCTGTTCTGATTTGGAATGTAACAATATCTCCTGTTGGTTCTTTCTTCCTGTCACCATCGGCCCATCTCTAAGCAGTATTCCACTGAACTGAAGAAACTGTACTGCCAAATTGCAAAGACATGTCCCATCCAGATCAAGGTGATGACCCCACCTCCGCAGGGCGCTGTCATCCGTGCCATGCCTGTCTACAAGAAAGCTGAACATGTCACTGAGGTGGTGAAACGATGCCCCAACCACGAGCTGAGCCGTGAATTCAATGAGGGTAAGAATTGGGATCTGGGGCTGTTCAGCTAAGCTCCTGAAAAATAGAGATCCTGTGGAGATTTTTCTTTGGGGTCCATCTACCTGGTTCCAAACTCTGCAATCTGAGGACAGCTCAGTTTACCTTTTTTGTCTAACAGATTGAGAATAATGATAAATGCATTTATGGCTCCATTAACAATTGGACTCTTCGTAATTTAATATTGGTAATTACTAGGTGACCTGAACTTGCCTCTTCACTTCTACTGTTTCCTTCCTTTTTTTTTTTTCTTTTTTTAAATGAGAGGGTGTAGGAGGGACAATCTGACATTTGACCCATTCAGCCCAGGTGAGGGTAACCTTCAGCTTTAGTGCCTTTCCTAGAGTGGTGTCAAGGCTATACCAGTTGAGAACTGGAGGGAGCATAAAAGGTAAGAAACACATACACACACACACACACACACACACACACAAAATGGAAGAGTAAAGTGGGGGGAGAAAAGGAATGAAGATAAATAATGGACAAGAGGAGCAAAAAGAAGATCTAGGACATAAGCTGGGAGGGGGGACAGCAAAGTCATGACTGGGAGTCAGGGAGCAGGTATTTTGGGGCCTCCTTTAAGCTCTGTGTCCATGGATAAGTCATGCCCCATGTTCTGAGCCTCAGATCCAACAACAGCTTTACAGAGGAGGTCGCTGTTTCCAAGGGTTCTCTTACACTGGATATTCTAAGTCTATGAAGGGAGGCTAAGTAAGGAGGAGCGGAAAGTAGAAAGGAAGAACAAGAGAACACATAAGTGTTCATTAGGAGGGTGCAGGAGGCTTGGAGGTTAGGATAATTTATATAGACAATATATTTTTAAAAAGAAATACTGGTAGGTAGCTAGTGTGATGTTGGAATAGATGGTAGAGAAAAATTAATGGAGGAAGAAAGAGAGTGGATAGAAATTTCAACAGAGAAAGTTAAAATCCTCCCATCTTAACACAACTACTTTTTACACATTAATTTCCAGTCCTTGTCTACATAGCCTCATTTTCAGTACCTTTCCATCTTGTTTTTCACTTAACAATATGACTTAAAGATGATTCCTTATAGCTAGGCTCCATTACAGGTTTCCACAACTGCCCTTGATCCGTCAAGATGATATAAGTATATTTTGTTTTGTTTTGCTTTCTCGCTGTTTGACATAACACCTGTTTTTAGTTTTTGCCAAATAAATGATTCTTCAGAGAGCATTTTCACACTTATTTTTTGACTTTTATAGATTAACAATTTTTATAGAATGGTAATATATACCCAAAGAGTAAGAACACCTTTATGGCTCCCACTCCCAATTCTCAGATCAGCTGCTTTCTTTTGGAGCTCTGTCAAGTATCCCAATTTTGTGAAATTTGGCCTATGTTCTTTTAAAAGCATGCCTCCCTTTTCTGATCCTCCAACCTGGGGCTCTTTCAGCACCAGAAAACCAGTAAGTTTCTCATCTTTATGACCAAAGCAGGTGTGAATCCAGGGGTTTTGGGTTGGCTCAGTCAGTAGAGCGTGTGACTCTTGATCTCAGGGTCATGAGTTCAAGCCCCACATTGGGTGTAGATCTTAAAAAAAAAAAAAAAAGTGTAAAGGTGTAAAGACGGAGACTTTATGGCAGAGAAAAGAACAGGCAGTAAAAGGTATATCCTTGCCATCTATTACCTCTTGTTAGTATTTTTGCTAATCAGTGTTGGGGAAGCATCTATTCTCAAGCTGAGTTTTTGGGGTTTTTTGTTTGTTTTTTTATGAACTTGTTCCTTTTCCTTCCCTTTCCCATGGGAGCTAGCAGAATCCCCTCTGTGGATAAGAACAGAGACATAGTCATAAAGTTCCTTGACAGCTTGAGTTGTTAACCTTCAGCCCCAGAAACAAAGGACTGTTCCCTTAAATATAGGTGAGCATTCCAGCCCTTTCTATTGTTATAAAGGTACACCTTCATTTATTAGATATCTGGCAATGAGATCCCTTCCTTTCTTCAAAGATGTATGTTTCCTCTATAAAACAAACCATTTCTTTAGCCACAAATATTTTGCCCATGCAGCTTCATTTTCTTTTTTTTTCCTTCCTTTCTCCTTCCCTCCCTCTCTTTCTTTCTTTCTTTCTTTCTTTCTTTCTTTCTTTCTTTCTTTCTTTCTTTCTTTCTTTCAAGGCAAAGAACTAACTATTTTGTCTTTCTCTGTTCTGCAGGACAGATTGCCCCTCCTAGTCATTTGATTCGAGTAGAAGGGAACAGCCATGCCCAGTATGTAGAAGACCCCATCACAGGAAGACAGAGTGTGTTGGTACCTTATGAGCCACCCCAGGTAAAAGATAAGTACTGGGTTGACTTGGGAGAGCATTCATTTTGGTGATAAAGGGTGTTTTGGGGATCTCTTTCTGCCTTGGTGTTTGTCATCAAATAGAACCCTTCTTGTCTTTCTCCTCTCCCTCTTTACCACACTGCTTCTCTATCCCCTTCAGAACTCCTACATTTGTATTAAGTTAACTTAACAACATTGCTGTGTACCCAGGTTCCCATCTTAAAGGTCAATAATAATTGAACTTGCAATTGGGTAAATACCTGACTCATCTAGAGAATTTAACTGGCAATTGAACTGGTAGTAGATGTGGACCAGATGCCAGTATATTCCCAGTGGCCTACAGATGGGAGACTCTGAGGGGGATCTCTTAGCTCAGGTTTGGACAAACAGGTGGCAGATTAGGAAAGCAGACTGGTTCTGTATTAAGAACACTGGAGTAGTGTTACCAGAGTCTCGTGGTTTGCTGGCTTGCTATGTGGACTGTTAGCCTGTGGCTCTCCCTCTCTAAGCTTCAGTTGCCTTGCCCATAAACGACCACTTTGGAATAGATGATTTAATCCTGAGGACCTTTTCAGCTCCAGAGTGTTCTTTATGGAAGTGTACATTTAAATCTGTGTTAAGCTATTTTATCCACATAGGGGAAATTTCCCTGGGTGTTGCTGCTATTTTGGATAATATTTTCATTTCTCCCCATTTGAATTAGGTGATAGGGATTAGCTTGCAAATGAATAAGATCAATAGGATCAAAAAGTTTTATGATTTAGGGGCACCTGGGTGGCTCAGTTGGTTATGAGACCGACTCTTGATTTCTGCTCAGGTCATGATCTCAGGGTTGTGAGACGGAGCCCCGCATCAGCCTCTATGCTGAGCAGGGAGCCCGGTTCTCTCTCTCTCTTTCCCTCTCCCTGTGCCCCACCGCCTGCTCTCTCTTTCTTCCTCTAAAATAAATAAATCTTTTTTTTTAAGTATTATGTTTTAAAGCCTTTCTTGCCTTTCTAATTTAATGTAAGTATTTAAAATAAAATAGATTTAATTTAAATCTAATTTCTAATTTAGTGTCCAGTGTTGCAAACATTAGCTTTAAGCTTCCCAAGAGGCAAGGCAAAGAGGAATCTACAATGGGTTTTAGAGTTTGTCTTGCTAGAAGAGAGTGTATCATCTCATCAGAATGAGTTGGTTAACTAGAGAAGAGAACCGAGAAGGAAGAACATCAGCTCAAACCATTGTTAACCCGGACTCTTTTTCCTCCTGTGTTCAGGTTGGCACTGAATTCACGACAGTCCTGTACAATTTCATGTGTAACAGCAGTTGTGTTGGAGGGATGAACCGCCGTCCAATTTTAATCATTGTTACTCTGGAAACCAGAGAGTAAGTGGCATGTGCAGAATTGTCATTCTGCAAAACACCGTGGGCAGAGGGCAACGTGAAATTGTGTTTGCTCTATCATTAACTTTCCATGTACAGCAAAGAGCTACCCTTGATTTTGTCCTTTGTGCTTTAAATCCTGGCTGCAAACAGTGACATAAAAGATCTAAGAAGGTGGAGACAGAGCAGGGTGCGTTAAGGGAGAGGGAAGAAAAGAACCAGGAAGGCATGCAAGTCACTTCATACCTGAATTCTTGACATTTGACTGCAATAGTTTCTGATTAGACAGTGTTTGTTTTCATGTGGCTCCCAAGGCAGTTAACAGTTTCTTTGAGTAAGTCTGGGCTGCCTAAGGGGGTTTTATCCAGAAACATCCACTGGCTTAACTCAACTTTCCTTCAAAATCTGTAGCTAAATACAGCTGTTCAGTTAATGGCTTGGAGGTTCTTTGCAGAACAAATGGAATGTTATTTACTAATATTGTTTATGGCACATAAGCCCTTTTGTGTTTTGCCAAGTGCTTCTGGGTCCATCCTCAAAGCAGCCATGAGTGAGCTGGTGGTGATGGTGGATGGGTGACGGCTAGCATTGGATATGGAAATGAGAGAATGCCAGGGACTTTTACAGTTCTTTTCAATTTCACCCTTTCTCTCCCTCCTCTCTGATTCCTAGCGGGCAAGTCCTGGGCCGACGCTGCTTTGAGGCCCGGATCTGCGCCTGCCCAGGGAGAGACCGGAAGGCGGATGAAGACAGCATCAGGAAGCAGCAGGTGACGGACAGCGCAAAGAACGGTGACGGTACGAAGCGCCGTAAGTAGCTGTAGTAGCCAAATGCGGTAGGGTGAAATCTTCTCCAGATGTGGGGGCCAAGAGCAATACTGGGGAAGCTGCGTAGGAAGACCTACCTCAGGGCTTCAGGGGCAAGTATGACTTGAGGTCCCACAGCCAGTGTGAACGGTTGTCCCACTAATGGAGGACTCCAGGTGTGCACGACAGCTTTGCAAAAGCTGATCATCATGGTGAGGATTTCTTAGTCCAGCGGTCCTCAAACTGTGACTCCCAGACCAGTAGCATCAGCGTCATCTTGCAACTGGGTAGAAATGCAAATTCTTAGTTCCCAGACCTGCTGAATCAGAAACTCTGGGTATGAGACACTGATACCAGTTCATCTTTCTGGAATTGCGCATAAGGACTGAAAATGGCATCTGTCTACCTTATGAATTCCTGGGAATAGTGAGATTTACAAATGTATTTCACAAAGGACGGTCTGGGGAATATGCAGATCCGGGTTTCATGGAGTTTTGACACGTATGACCGTCTTGGGGCCTCAGTTACCTCATTTATAATGAGACTAATGATTTAGGTCTGTTGTTTTTAAACTCCTTTTGTTAAGCAGTAAAAGCTTTTTTTTTTTTTTTAAATGAAATATTTAAAATATTCTATTTGAAGGGGGCAGCAGTCAGGGGTGGTCTGTTGCTCTCAGTCACCCCTTGCCCATGTGGTACAGGGGCCTAGACCTCCAGGCAGCAAAGTGTGAAAACCACTGATCCACTTGTACATCTAACTTATGAGAAGAAATTGATTCTAGAAGGTGCCTCGCATAAGCCTATTATCACTACAAGTATTTTAAAGTATACCACGCTGTGACTTATTTCATGAAAACACGTTTTAATCTTATTACTGGTTAGTATCCAGAAGAAATATAAATTGTATTGCGTTTTACAGAACAACAGAATGTTTTAACAGCTACTCATCATCAACTTCTAACTTTTCCGTATGACTTGCCTTTCCTGTTAGGCTCTTTCTCTCCCTGATTATTCCTCAAAAAAGTATATATGTGTGTGTGTGTGTATATATATATATATACACACACACACATACACAATACATACATATGTATATAATTATATCTCCACCCTAATTTTGCTCATGAGTCTGTCTGGTGGCATCGTTTCTATATGCTTCCCTGAGCACCTCAGTTACCTACACATTAATAACTTAGGAAGAATAGATTATCCGAACTTTTGCAAAAGAATCCTCTCTATATCCTGAATTCTGGCTGTAGTTTCTAACGTTGGAAACCTTAAGGATTTATGAGCTGCATCCACTCCCTTTACCAAAGGGAAAATGAGGGCCTGGGAGTGGAACTGTCTGTCTGAAGTTACATGATGTCCTCACTGCCGCGGGAGGGCTGAACACGCAAGCTGAGCATATGGGCAAGACAACTTCTACAACACCCCTCCCTTTACCTCCTTGGAAGATAAATGATCTGAAAAATAAAACACCAAACCCATTTATCTTCCCTCCCTGAACAGCTGTTCACAGACACACGCCAGCAAGACACAGGGATTCCTGCAGCACCACTTAGGCCAAAGGCTCTCTTCCAGCTTCCCAGATGTCTTCCTTCTACTTATTCCTCCCCAACCCCCCACCTCATTATTGTTAGGTGTACACTTAATGTAAATGCAATGATCACCAAGGAAATGGAAGCTTGGGACTGAAAACTCTAACCTCAGGTTTGCTGAGGCTACTGTCTGTTTAATAAATGTACTAGTGCTTCAGAAATGTTCCCAGGATGAAACTTGCATTTTCCCTCCACCAGCTTTTCGTCAGAACACGCATGGCATCCAGATGACATCCATTAAGAAACGGAGGTCCCCAGATGACGAGCTGTTATACTTACCAGTGAGTCTCCCTTGAGTCTGCCCAATTGCTTCATTTTTACCATCTCTGAATGAGCTTTTCCTCTGTGTCATCTTATTATCTGTGACAATGAGAAAGGGACGATGATGACTAGGGAGAAAAACAGGGAGAAAATATTGTTTGAAAAATCAGGAAATATCCGTCTCTTCCCCTATTTTGAAATCTGTCAGTAGTGCGGGCTTCTCTACTTACTACTCTCCCAATCAAAGTTACTCTTCTAATATAATTTTTCTTACCCAAATATTTAAAATTAAGTTGCAGTTCGTTATTTAAGAATGATAAGATTACCCCAGACAGTGTGGCCAAGACTGAGATTTTGTCACAGATTTGACAGTACAACATTTATGGACTTGAATGCGATTTCTTTTAGGAAGTGCTATAAAGAAAGCCAAGCAAGACAGGATCCTCAGTTATATGTGAATGGCCAGAAGACTCAGCCCAGTTGTTGTGTAAGAGCATTGTTCATTCTTATGAGGAACATGAGTCCTCTCAAGGTCCTTGAGGTTCCCTTTTTAGACTATGGTTGCAGTCTGTTGAATTCTTAGCACCTTAGGTTTTGACCATCGAGAGTGGTGGCAAAGTCTTGGTAACCAGCATAACCCTCACCATCTGAACGTACCTGAGACCCAGGCAAGCCGGGCCAGGAGATTTGACAAGGGTTGCCGCCCCTGTATTGACGCCAAAGCCACTCAACAGGTTTGGGCGTGACATACCTGCTTCCCTGCCTTCTTTGGGCCCTGACCTCCGGGACAACAGACTGCTTGCCAGTAAAACAATGAGACGGTGAGTTAGCCAAGATTCTCAGTGTCTTTTTTCTCAAGCTACCTATGGAAACGGACTTGTGAACTTTAAGTTCAGCATTATCCTGATAAACCAAATATTCCGAAAGACCTAATATGTTTTCAGCTGTTGAGATAGGAACCAGTTTGTACTAAGGAAGGAGGTACCTTGTCATCAGTTACATCTTATGTTTAGTGAAGAATCAGCCAAACTGGGATGTGTGAATTAAGGAAAAAAAACTTTTAATTTAACATGAATTTAGTTGGTATCTGTTGGGTGGCAAATATGCTAGACCCTGAGCATTCAGAGATCAGTAGAATATAATTTTTACCTTCAAAGAGCTTGCCTTCTAGCAAGGAGACAGTTAGAATGTAATGAAATAAATCCCTCCGTAGAGCTGGGCACGATGCCGTGGGAGCACATAGAAAGGGCAGAACACTCACCCAAAGACTGAGATCAGGGGAAGCTTTGCAGAGGTGACCACAGAGCTGGGACAAATAGGAGCTAACCTGACATACGGTAGAGAAAACTTTTCCATTTCTGAATTCTGACAAATCCTGCCTCTCAGGGAGGGGACTTGGGTGAGGCCTACAAAATGCCTAGGGAGCAGATTTGAAATAGGCACTCGCTCTTGGGATCCTGCAAGCGCTCATACACCCTGCTGGTCTCACTCCAGTCCTGGCCCTGCTCATACTTTTAAAAAACTTTTAAGAGACTCTCTTAAAGAGAGAAGCATGTTTTGCCTCAGCTGAAAACTTCTGTCTTTCCAGAGATAAGTTAATAACCGCTAATTCTCATTACTTTTGGTAGTTGTTTCTTATAAAATCACTGCAAATGTTCTAACAAACACTGACTCATGGGAAAGTTCAGGATGAAGTTCCTGTGAGTCTCTGATCACAACATTTTCTGCAACCAGTCAGTACATAACCTTGTTTGATGTGTGTTTCTCTTTAAAGACACCTTATTTCATGTATACTATTGATTCATTAACACCGAACTCATGACCAACAGCACTACAACTCATGCCTAAATGAAGCTTATCTAACACATTTTCTCCAGAAGGCACATGGCAGCCTTCTGGCACCTGGAATCCTAGACAGCGCTTCAGCATTACCCTTGGGGACCAGTTTAAAGAGCAGGTTCACCAAAAAAGCCAACACAAAACAAAACAAAACAAAAGACGCACACAAAGCACACACACACAAAAAACTAAAACAAACAAACAAAACCAACAACAACAAACCCCCTCCCGCCCCCCCCCCACACACACACTGTGGAAAATGTGGCACTTAGTAGACCAGGGAGAGGACACTTGTTTGCAGCATAAAAGCAGGAGTGAAACAGCAGAGCATGCCTTCGTCGTGCCCCTGAGCTGGGAACGTGCGCGAGCAGCTGCAGTGTGGCCCTCTGTGCGTGTCTGTGTGGTCACAGAGCGCCACCAGGCTCGGTTTCCGTGTCACAAAGGAGTGTTGCAAGCATGCGAATTCGGCAATACGGAATCCACAGAGGAGGAGGACTGACTGTGCCGCTAACCGTTCCAGAGCTCTTCATTTTCCCTGTGTCTCTCCTTGTGCGCTGCACGTAGGTGAGGGGCCGCGAGACCTATGAAATGCTGCTGAAGATCAAGGAGTCCCTGGAGCTCATGCAGTACCTGCCTCAGCACACGATCGAGACTTACAGGCAGCAGCAGCAGCAGCAGCACCAGCATTTACTTCAGAAACAGTGAGTGTGTTGCTGTGCCCTCTCAAGAGGCGTCCGGGTCCGAAATGGGGCGGTGGGCGGGCGATGAGAAGACCCGAGGCCGGGAGACAGCAGAGCATCATAGGTTCCCATGAACCAGTGCAGGGGCCCTTTTCAGTTTCAACAACCTTCCCGGTTTATTTCCCTAGAGCCTGGAGAAGGTCCACCTAGCTTCTGAAATTGAAGCTAAAACATTTCAGGTGAATTACAAAGAGACTCATGCTAACAGAGTTTGCTCTCTCTACCCCTCATCCATACACATCTATCCAGAGAAGAATTTTGAGTATACAGTCTACTCTAGTCATATGTGTACATGCAACAACATGTAATCTTCCCTCATCCTGGTGCATTGTCCTGTACCTCACCTGGGAGGCACACAATCCACTTGTAGACTGGGGATAGCACATGGGTTTTACTGTAAGCGACTTCTTGGAGAGCTCTGTTGAGGACTCTGAGACCCTAGCACATGCTCCTTGGGAAGCCATCTGGAGGCAGAAGGGCAAAGTAGCATCTTATTGCCATGTTTCAGCATCTCTGTTCGAGGTTGTCTTCCAGCAATACATTTTTACAGAAATTGGGCCAGATTTTGCAACCATATTAGATCTACGTGCAATGTATAACTTATATATGTTAGTTTTTACCTCAACTCTTGGATCTTTGATGATATTGTTTTGTGACTAATCAGAATAGAATAGCTCTCATGGGAGAAAGGGAAGTTGTCAAATCAAGACTCTGTTGACATTCACCCTTCTGTGGTTAAGAATAATCACTTGTTAGCTTAAAGTGTCTATACTGGAGATATTGGCAGAGTCTCCATAGATAATGTAAAATGTATACATTTTGGGCCCATTTAAGTAATTCAAACATTCAGCTCTGCTCTTCAGACCAAAAGAAATGAAGCCAAAGTCATCTTGCCTCAGGCAAAGATTGTCTTTTACAATAGAAATGTAAATGAACAATAAATAATGGTTATTTTCTGATACATTAATAGTAGCTATAGAGAGAGAGCTATGGAAAGTATAAGAAAGAGGGCTCATCATCCTCTTTTTTTTTTTTTAAGATTTTTATTTATTTATTTGACAGAGAGAAACACAGCGAGAGAGGGAGCACAAGCAGGGGGAGCGGGAGAGGGGGAAGCAGGCTTCCAGCTGAGCAGGGAGCCCGATGTGGGGCTCGATCCCAGGACCCTGGGATCATGACCTGAGCCGAAGGCAGACTCTTAACGACTGAGCCACCCAGGTGCCCCTCATCATCCTCTTTTTAATCAACATAAATGCAGCCAAGGTGTTGGACTGCATCTGTGATACTCAGGAGGCATCCTCTGAGCACCTGGCTATGGGGTACAGGGTGGACAGCAGAGGGGTGGAAAAGGAGTGTGAGCTCCCTTAAAGGACTTCAGGCTCATTGAGCATTTAAGACCTCGTTTGCCTAGAAGAGATCTCACCATTTACTTTGAGCATGAAAGCTTTGCAAATCATAATTATAAAGTTTTATAGTAAGGCTGAGTGGGAAGTTTAATCAAGAGGTCTCTTGGAGACACAGGATATTCCAAAGGAGAATGAGAACTCAGGGTTGCAGACAGAGTTCCCACTGCAAATCCTATATATTCTTTAGGATATCAGAAGGAAAAATATGTTAATATATTCAAGGGTAAAACTGATTTAGTTCTTATAAAATCTTACAGCAGGGATCAAAGAAACAGACCTGTAACATCATTTACAGACCAAGAGAGGCTAAGTGCCTCTCTCTTAAGAGGGAAACATGCATGTGATGGTATTAAGAAACATTCCCAAACTGCCTCTAGTTCACTCTGGAAATGTCTGGCTCAGCCAAAATGACCTCAGAAGAATTACATAGCAGCACATCATGCTGAACTAGTTACTCTCTATGATAGTCTTCCCCGTCTTTTTTTCCAGTTAACAGGAAAAGTACTGTCAGGCCAAATTGATACTTATTAAATGATGTGGTTTAGAAAATCTGACCATTTAGCACAGGGGTTGGCAAACTTTTTTTCTGTGAAACACTGGTAGTAAACATCTTCGATTTTCTGGTCCATATGGTCTCTTGCAACTAGCTGCCTAGTTCTGCCTCTGTAGCGCAAAAGCAACCATGGTGTGTAAATGAATGAGAGTGGCCCGTGCTTTTTATGGACACTGAAACTTGAATTCCATATAATTTTCGTATCATGAAATAATTCTTCTTTTGAATTTTCACAACTTTTAAAAATGTAAAAGCCATTCTTAGCCTGTGGGCCAGATTTGGCCCATTCACTGTACTTTGCCAGTTCTTGTTCTAGGTAAATCGGTGGATCTTCCTTCGTTGCCTCTGAAGGCTTAGATTTATTTTTAAAAATTTATTTATATATTAGAGAGAGGAGGGGGAGGGGCAGAGGGAGAGGGTGAGGGAAACTTAAGCAGACGTGGGGTTTGATCTCAAGACCCTGAGACCTGAGCTGAAACTAAGAGTCAGATACTTAACTGACTGCACCACCGAGGTGCCGCATGGCTTAGATTTTTTTCTTATAGGAATATTTGGAAGCTAATATGTGTATCCTAAAGTAGAGAGGTATGGAAATGTTTTAGGAAAGCATACAGTGATTTTTAAAATGGTATTTCAATATCTAAAAAAACAACAGCCTTTAACAGAGATCTCTTTTGTCTGAGAAAGTTAGGCATGCCCATCCAGACAAAAAATATGGTTAATGATGAAACCTTATCAGCAGTTAAGACTGGAATAGTTGAGTTGATTCATGTAACAAACTTTTTATTGAAGATCTGTTACAGTGAAGTATTAAGGATGGGATGAGAAAGATGAAGTTCCTTCTTTCCCAGAGTTTATGAATTAGTGGTGAATTCCTAACCAGACCCCCTTTTGAATCTTTTTTTTTTTTTT